GGGGGGGGGGGGGCGTCAATATAGATAATATATGCAAATGTGAACCTATAAAATCTGTGTATTCTGGGATTGACGATGATACTGTTCATTTAATCAATGGATGTTTCGCATTCAAACTTAATATGCCGGAAAAGCCCAATCACATCTAAAAATGACGCACTAGGGGCGCCTGGGTGGCTCAGTCGGTTGAGTGTCTGACTCTTGATTTCGGCTCAGGTCGTGATCTCACGGTTCGTGAGGTCAGGCTCCGTGCTGGCTGTGGATCCCGCTTGAGTTTCTCTCTCTCCCTCTCTCTCTGCCCCTCCCCTGCTCATGCTCTCTCTCAAAAAAAAAAAAAAAATGACACATTCATTCTACTTTTAGTAAAGGGGTAATCCCAATATTACTAAAGAGTCAAATGACAGTACGATCCAAATATGTCTCTGAATCCCACAATATGAAATTCAAAGTTGTCCAGGAATAAAGGGGTAGGCACTCTGTTTTAGTCTGCCAAAGCCTGGGTGAACAAGATACAACAGACCCTGGAGAGCGTATCTAGTATCCCAGAGGATTCCAGATTCACTGAATCTCCCTTAGAGCACATCGGTGGGGAAGTCTTAAGGGCACGGGTGCCACGATGGTAACCAAGCCAAAAGGTCATTTGTTTTTAGCCTCTACTTCCTAACGGGAGCGTGAATACGTGTGCGCGTGTGGATGCGGGTGCTGGGGAGGTGTGGTGGGGATGAGCAGCCTAAAATAAAAACCACGAGTAAATATTAGTAGGATGAGACATGAGAGCAACAGCTGTGAGAAAAACGTCCCCCCTTTCCTTTTCTGTTGCTCCCTGATCCAGGTGAATTGACTGCCTACGTGCGGCAGATACTGGCCCACATCAGGGGCCCATACCGTACAAGGGCACTTGACTGAGATTAAGACAAATAACCCGATCAGAAAATGAAACACGCATCCACAAGAGTCACCGCCTGTGCTTGTGGGAAGCTGCCGGGACTATACAGGGTTTCCTTTTTAGAAAACCCCCATATGCTAGAGTTTACCCACGGACACTGTTTTTCTCCCTGCAAGCCTATTCTGTAGCAGCAGCAACTACACAGGAAGGAGCTGGAAGAGGCCTCTAGGGAGTAGCAGAGACAGCAGAGCCTAAGAGTTATGATTTCAGAGCAGTTGGAACATTAAATATAGCCAGGAACACCCTCCACCGCACCACACCCTTCCAAACCTCAAACTGCATGCTATTAAAAATTCCGCCCCAGACTTTTCTTCCGCGCACCGAGATGGGTCCCTTACTAAAATGGAAACACTGGGAGGGAGCCTAACGCTTTCAGCTGTTAGCAGTCTTGTAGACCTTAATGGAAATGACAGGCATGAGACCAAGTTTAGAGCTGATGGTGTGGAAAACGTAAAGACATTAGTGCGCAACTTGGGAAAAAGCGAGGGAGAACGGCCGGACGGCGTGGGGAGGGTAGGGGAGAACGAGAACTGGACTGCAGTACGGGGCCGTTTGCCTGGGAGCGATCCCAACCGTTTACACACACAAAATGGAGAGCCAATTCCCCTTTTCCGTCCGCAGAGCCCCGGGGCTTGTTAAAGGAAACGCACATTTGCACATTTGCGGCGTTGGTGCTTTTCCGACGGGAAGCCGTGATGTTACTACTGCCCGTCTGCTACTCCGCGTGAGCCCGAGTCCCGGATTAGCTGAACTTGCTCTACACCATTTGGGTCCAGAAATTAGCTGGTTAGTCGCAGTTGGGTCTGTGAAGGTCGGATGAACGGCAGGATTCCTTCCCTCCATCTACCACGACTGTGATGCAGACAAGAAAGGGCGGCTTCTGGAACTACTACGAGATGCTTTCAAGGTCCCGCCTCCTGCAACGGGGAGGGGGGGGGGCGAGGTTCAAGGACAACAACGACGGACGTTTACTCTACTCTGGGTAAGCAACAGGCGAGACCGAGATTAAACCTCATGAAAGATGTTTTTTTAAGTGCCGTTGACCCTTGAACAACACAGATTTGAACTGTGCAGGTCCACTTACACGTGGGCTTTTTTTTTTTTTTTTTTTTTT